TCCCTCCTCACATCCCTGCCTCTGCCCTCCACTATTTCGGCACATCCTTCACACGCTTCGTGGCCGCATAGAGAGCTCCACCGAGGCCCCAGAGGGAGCGTTCGCATGCGTCTCCCCGCCACATTCCGGCACACCCCTCAACCCCTATAGAGAGCTCCACCGAGGCCCGGGTGGGAGGTTCCACAAGCGTCATTTCGGCAAACCCCTCACACGCTTCGTGCTCCTATAGGGAGCTCCACCGAAGGCCCCAGTGGGAGGGTCAACATGCGTCTCCGCGTTTGATTTCGGCACATCCTTCACACGCTTCGTGGTCCCATAGCGAGCTCCACCGAACGCCCCAGAGGGAGCGTTCGCATGCGTCTCCCCTCCCCAATCCGGCACACCCCTCACACGTTTCGTGCCCTCATAGGGAGCTCCACCGAAGGCCCCAGTGGGAGGGTCCACATGCTTCTCCCCTGTCCCGTTTAGGCACGTTCCTCACACGCTTCGTGCACCCAGAAGGGGCTTCACCGAAGGTACCAGTGGGAGGTTCCACATGCGTCTCCCCCACCCAGTACACCGTTTCGTGGCCCCACAGGGAGCTCCACTGAAGGCTCCAGTGGCCGCGGCCGCATGCGTCTCCCCTGTTCAGTACAGCGCTTCGTGCCCCCATAGGGAGCTCCACCGAAGGCCCCAGTGGCCGCGGCCGCATGTTTCTCCCACGCTCAGTGCAGGGTTACTGGGTTTCGTGGCCCCATGGGGAGTGCCACTGAAGAAAAGCTCAATTGGCGACATTCGCATGCGGACCCCGGGCCCATTTCGGCGCACTCCTCACACGTTTCGTAGCCCCACTGGGAGCTCCCCCTAAGGCTCCAATGGCACAGTCCGCATGCGCCCCCCACCACCACCAATACGGCACACCCCTCACGCGTTTCGTGGCCCCGATAGGGAGCACCGAGAGCGGTAACTACAACGCGGTACTCACAGTTGCATTTGGTTGGGTATTTCGCCAGTATAAGTTTCCCAACCATCCTATTGTGTCGGGTCTTTGTTTCCAAGAGACAGCGCATGACAGCGCCCAGCGTCATCTTCCTTCCCGCTGCCCTCCTCCCTCCCTTCATCCCTGCCTCTGCCCTTCGCATGCTTTTGTTTCGACACCCCTGACACGTTTCGTGCCCCCTATCGTGGGCGTCACGGTCATTTCGGCACACCTGTCACGCTTATCGTGCCCCCATGGGGAGGTCCACCGAAGGCCCCAGAGCGAGCGTTCTCATGTGAGCGTCACGCCCGTGTCGGCATATCCGTCACGCGTTTCGTGGCCCCATAGGGAACTCCACCGAATGCCCCAGAGGGAGCGTTCTCATGTGAGCGTCACGCCCGTGTCGGCATATCCGTCGCGCGTTTCGTGGCCCCAGAGGGAGCTCCACCAAAGGCCTGGTGGGAGCGTTCGCATGTGGGCGTCGCGCCCGTTGGCGCACCCCTCACACGCTTCGTGGCCCCATAGAGAGCTCCACCGAAGGCCCCAGAGGGAGCGTTCTCATGTGAGCGTCACGCCCGTGTCGGCATATCCGTCGCGCGTTTCGTGGCCCCAGAGGGAGCTCCACCGAAGGCCCCAGTGGGAGCGTTCTCATGTGTCTCGCCCGTTTCGGCACACCCGTCACGCGTTTCGTGGCCGCACAGGGAGCTCCACCGAAGGCCCCAGAGGGAGCGTTCTCATGTGAGCGTCACACCCGTTCCAGCACACCCATCACAGAGTTCGTGGCCCCATAGGGAATTCCACCGAGGGCGCCAGTGGCCGTGTTCGCCAGTGGCCGTGTTCGCCGTGTTTCGGCACACACTCACACACACATACACACACACACACTCACACGCACATACATACACACC